TGATAGAAGGCGAATTTTAATCAAAAATGATTAGGGAAACTTTATCTTTCCAAGGAAAAGTTTAAAATAGTTCACGCATTGTCTCGACGTCTGATTGAACGCTATTATTCGACAAAACGGATTTCTAATAATTTAAAAAAAATATTTCTCCAATTCTACCTCCTATTGTATTGAGACAAGACAATGAAAGTGAATTTACAGTGTTAAATTTCAATTCAGAGGTGGAAGGGAGGGGTTTAATACTGTTCTTTAAGCAAAAGAATCAGATGTGATTTGTAAACAAAATTTGTGAAATAATTTTAACAATGGAGTATTTTGGAGAGTAATAACGCTTGATGAACGGAAAATTATTAAAACGTTATGAAAAGGAAAATTATGACACAATCGAAGGATTTGCATAAGTAATTACTATCGATCAGTATAGAACCCCCCCCCCCCTCCCCAAAAGGATCAGAAAAGGAAAGGTGTTTGCGGGTTTTCAGTTGTTTTCTCACCGACAAGTATCAGCCGTTAAATGCACTCAATTAGCGCATCTTGCTGTCACTAGGCTGTCAGGGGATGTGGGTAAACTCACACCCAGGGTTGTCAAAATTGCCCCTCCCAAATTACCAAAAGTTGGAAAGTGGGAGAATGGTTGACCACGTCAACTGAGTAAATAGAGGAAAGTAGGGTTGTTTAGAAGTGGAGAGTTGCACAACAACCTAACGGACAGAAAGTCAACTCATATTTAGGTTTCTCATTGAGCATAATGAGGGCTTGCCTTTTTTTCAATATTGAAAGTACCATCCGGATCACTGATATCTCTTATCTCCTAGCTAACTAGATTAAATAGACAAATAGTCAAAGTGGCACAGAATTATTCCCCATTAAGTAAACGAAATGGAATTTCTAAAGTGGTGTCCTCATAAGTCTTGTTAAGCAACTTTGCTATACAATGGCAAATGACCTAACTGAATCCGTAGACACAAAAAACGGCTAATTTGTGTGTTTGTGTATATATACCAATTAACCGGAGAAGATTCACGTACAAAGAACTGGCGTGTGGGTTTTAAACAACAACCCCAGAGGGACACACGGATTACCCGTATAAAAGTGTTCTAAAGCAGACCAGCTTCGAATGCTCAATAAGCCTCTGTTAGAAAACTTAAAAGTCTGACATTTTAAACCAATTAGATATGTGGAAATCTGGGGTGTGAGATAGACTTACCTCCGCGTGGTGCACCCTGGGCAACGTATACTTATACGGCAAAAAAGTCTATTAATCGGCAGTTGACTTTTGACTTCGAACTACCATGACTCCACTATATGTCATATTTGACTACTTTCACAGTACTCACCTCACCCTTTTTCTAACTTTGTGTCCGTCTGTCTCTTTTACGTCTGTGAATGATACCTATCACAACGCCTGCCATTTGAAATAAATAAATAGATATGTGGAAATCTTTACAGCGTTCAGCCGGATTGATTTTAAAAACAAAATTGGCAAAACTTCCGGCATGTTCTCCTTGGAGCTCATTTTTTTATGAATCATTTACCAAGCATACTTCCGAGGAATCGTTTTATTCCACCCTATCAAACCGTAGGATGAAGAGTAGAAGACCGAATATATATGGTTGGACAAAAATTATTGCAAATTGGCTGATTCTAAAACCACTCAAACCTCAAATACAATGGATTAGAGTGCGATCCATTTAAATGATATGATCTTTTTTGCAGGACTACAGAAAGATGACCTTTTTCCGAATGGTAAATGCAATTTCGGTAAATCAATACGAGAATGTTTCCTTGTAGAAATTGATTACAAATAAGTCCCTTTTATTAAAGAAAGCACAGAGCGCAGAACAAGGATAACAAGGTGGAGTGCTTTTAAATTCCAGCTCATTGTAGAGAGAATTCTGAGGATAAGGTGACATTCTTTCTCCACTTTTATTTACTTCTGTGCGGGGGTAGAAAAGTTGGAAACGCTTTCGCCTTACTTTAAGGGGTGGCCAGAGTTTGCAGGAAGTAAAAAGAAAAATGAGAAGAACGACTGGATAGTCCATTTTTTTGTTCAATGCGTCTGTTGTGTTTTTCATAGTGTTTAAGTAAACTCCACACACGAAGGGTTCGAGATCACTGCAATAAAAGCCGTTCAAAGAGTTCTAACTACGATACTTGCTGGAAATTATATCGATCGCAAAAAAAGATGTCCAGCTTAAGCACAATAATGAAATAAACTAAGAAAAGCTAAAACATATTTAGACAAAAATGTTGGAGTTAACTGCCCAACTATTGAATTCAAAAATTTAATGTTTCAAATCCTAAAACATCATCTATCAAACCAATAAAATCGACAAATGATGGATGTGATCTGCCAAATTCAGAATCCTGCGCGCCACTGCACTGAATGCCAGCGAAACTACAAGCAAATGAAGTTAGCAAAACACAAAACAATGAAGTCAAATGGTCATTGCAATTAACGCAATTCTTAAAACGCAGAAGAAAATGTCACAACTTTAAATTCAATTGGAGGAGGGGAAGGAGGGGGTGGGGGGGGCCACAAAACATTTGGGCTAACAGCGTAGAAATTTCACCAAATCTCAAAGACTATTTATCAAATACCAAGCACAAAGTAAGCAAAGCTCCTAAGCTATAGAGTGCAAAAATTGGAGAATAGATAATTTAAAAAAAAATTTCTCATCTAATCAGGCAACAGAGATATGACATGTTGAAAGAAAGACAAATAAAATGACATTAACCAGAGGCTGTAAAGATGAAATTGGGTCTGGTTGGGGGGAAGAAAAAAATTAAATTGACAATCCATTGTCACTCATTCATAAAATTTTGTCAAAATTAGTAGCAGAATTTCATTTAAATTATTGATTTTCGCTTAAAACTTAGCTGTTATTGAATTCTGGAATCGGTTGTCTGTAGCAAATCCGGACATATGATTTTGAAATAAGAAAGTAAAGAAACACCTGAGAAACATTAAATTCAAAGAAAAAATTAATTACGCAAAAAATAGATTGTCACGAAAAGTCTATATCCTAAACACATCAGTCAATGTCATTAAATGATACAGTCAGCAAGTGAACAGGAATGTTGTAGAATCGATGCGCTTCGATGCATATCCAGCCGACGAAGTTAACTAACTGCAATGTTAAAAGAGAGGCAAAATTTTTACTTGGAAACAAACGAAACGATGCGTTACAACACTTGATGTAGAGTTGCAAGACTAGGCATTTAAACGTCACAGGACGAAAGTGCCTCAAGGCAAGAATTCACCAATCAGAGCTGGAAATTTGGTGGAAAAATGAATTTAGAACGAAAAGTTTACAACACCCCTTACCCTTCTCTCATTCGATTTTTCGCCTAATTGCATTAGAAATGTGTCAAATTTGTAAGCTTTAAGTTAATAGGATAGCGTATTAGTATTGGTGGAATTCATATGTGGTAATATCAAATTCAGCAGTTATTTAAATTGGACACTATGAAAACCTACATCATATATGAATTACTATGGAGTAATATAATACAATAATGCCATTTCTATATAGTAGGAGTTGGATTAAGTCAATGAGAAAATTAAATTATAGGAAGTGACGTCAACGAGAGATTTAGGGGTTTTAATACCTCAGATGGAGGAGTTTTAGAAGTGAATTCCAAAGGCAAATATCAAAACAAAGATATCAGATTAAGTCATTTTTTAAGGAAACTTATGAGAGCATAATTTTTTTATAGAGCAATGACATTATTCATAGTAATGCACAAAAACAAACTACGATTTTTAGTTTTAAGAGACAATAATATCGGAAAACAATAAGTATAAATTATTTATAAAACACAAGAGATTAAAACGTCAAGTTCAAGGTATCGAAAAAGTATAATTCAATTAGACGAATTTTTGGGTTTGAGATACACAAAATCGGCCAAATGAGCAGCACATTTTTTGTTTAAAATTTGCTGAGTCATCTAGTGAAATGAAGCACAACAGTTGTCTAAAATGTTCAAATGTTTGAAAATATAAATTTCTCCGACTACCTGAATCTATATTTCTTAGTAAACTCTTTATTCCGTTATATATATATATATATATATATATATATATATATATATAACGGAATATATATATATATATATATATATATATATATATATATATTTTAGTTTTATCGAATTTCGGCCATCCTCAACTTTACAAGGTTATAGAAAGAGGAATCGAATTTGCAAACAAGAAAATTACCGTTTAAATTAAAAGAGAAAAAATCTGGTAAAAAGATTAGTCAATTTGAAATTGTTTGTGAAATCGGAAACAGAGCATTATTTCACAAATCAATACTTATTCCTAAGTGTTAAATGAGATTAATAAAGAAATATTTTACATTTATAGGTAAATTATACTTTTTCGCAAGTTTGATAAATTGGCCCTGATAGAGGGGCTATTAATAAAACGTTCTTAAAAAAATAGATTTAAATAAAAACATAAAATTGTATGAGAACAATTAAATCAAACCTTGGATTAAATTGCACAAAATAGAAAATTTAGCTTATTTTCAAAACATTCACCCTCCGAGGAGCGTTAAATCGAACAATGGAATAGTTGTAGCAAAATGTTAGTACAAAATAGCAGATATACTCTTAATTCTAATAATAACCATCTTTCAGACGAGCTTATTTATATAGACTTCACTGAAATCGAGATTTTAAAGCAAATATTATCGAAAAAATTAGTAAATTTGGACACACGAATCAAATTATAAATTAACATTTAAATGAAAGAAATTGAATTCCCTTAAGGACAAAAAATACAAATCAAAAAAACATGTAAAATGGGAAAAATTTAAATCTCACATTTTACTTTAGCCATATTGGAACACAAAATGGAGACATTTGCTTCCTAATTATTGGGCATATTAGCACTATCAGCTAAAACAGACAATTACAATCTTTGAAGTATAAAATGAAATCACGAGTTTTGAAAATAAGTGTCATCCGTGAATATCATTATAACTTGCATGCTATCAGGATTGACCGGAAGTGTCTGGAAAGCAAAATATTCCGGGGATTTTTTCCATCAAAAAATTAAGCAACGAATAATAAACTTTCCAAAAAAAGAATTAAAAACGTTAGACAACCTTTCGATAACTTAACGTCAACTTACAAGGTTTGGTATCAGCCTCCGGCCTCCGCTGTAAAATTAACGGGGCCACAGTAGTAGTGACACTAATTCCTGTTGGTCGACTTGGCATGACCTTGACCTCAGTGACCACCTTGGGTGATGTGTGACTGAGTAGAGAGTGTACGTGGGGGGCGGGAGGGACATTTTTGTGCTCAGTGGGGAAGATATCATTCGGTGTTGGACTGTCTACTCGTTGATTGTTGGAATTACGCAAGGAATGTCGACGAACGACGTAGCGACTAGAGGCAAGCGATAAAAAACCGCCATTGTTTCAATAAAGAAATGTTTGTCCTTTAAATGACCTATTAGTTTATTTTAAATAAAATAATACGTGGAGACAAAATATTTGCAATTTGAGACTACCATGATACACGAACGAAAATTCGAAGTATTTTCAGAAGAGCCTTAGCCTTAAAATGTTGTAAAGAAAAAGGACTATCCAATCTATGTACGTTTGAGACGATATGATTTAAAAGAGGCGAAATAAGCGAAATCGAAAAATATTTAATTTGCAGCTATCCATCAATCGAGAAATCGAAATATTTGAAAGTGATCGAATGAATACCAAGCAATTTACTTAACCGAAATGCAAATTCGTTTAAAACGCACATGCATTGCATTAATGCCAATTATGCCATGGAAGTTTGATGTGAGATCAAAATCGGGTTTCTGATGAAACAAAAGCAGACGGTTTACAAATATATTGGCCAAACAAGGCTTACTTTCGTCAAAAACATAAATGATACCTCCGATGTCATTCGAATTCAGAAACTGGTAAAAAAATTGGGTATCAAAAATATTAATTTACACAAAGACCAAAAATAAGAGTTCATGAAAATTTGATTGTAGAGAGTTTTAGTAAATGTAAAACGGATTGTGGCTTTATGAGAAAGTGAACAATTCCATGTTTCAGCTATTCAAGGCAAACTAAGAATCTCAACATTTAGACTATAGAATATATTTATTTATTTATATCAAATGGTAGGCTTTTTGGTAGTTTTCATTAGACCTTTTGTTGACTTCGGACTTCAAATAGGGGAGGGAAGATCAAAGTGAAAAAAAGTCGAGGGGGTGGGGAACAGAAGAGTGTTTCTGACTTTAGAATATAGTTCTTGCGAAATTCCAGTCGTTTCAATGCTATTCCAGCTGAAGTAGTGGATCGAATCGATTACTGCAATAGCTAAGCCATTTAATTTTGCTGGCTTTTTATTAGATCCTACTAAATTCATAAATGTATCTTGTGGTCACAATTTAAAAAAAAAGCTCATAAAACTCAAATATTGCAGTTCCTATACCTAATTTATAAAACATTTTACGTACGACCAAATATACAGGCCAACATTTTTTGGTGCATATGTAGGCGGTATTTCAATAGGCCTTTACTATGATAATAGAGCTGATTTACTCACTCATAAGAACAAGATTTGCATTAAGATGGAGACTATGATATCCTTTTGACATTTGCCTAAGAGTTAATGGCAAATTGTGTAGGAAGGCGATGCAATAAAAGCTTCACTCTAACCCGCCTTTACTAAATAAACAAACATCATATGACATCATTCCAATAAAAAAGAACTAGAAGGCGTGTCCAGTTGGATAGAATGCACAACAAGATATTCCGTTTCATCAATTGCGAAAATCCGTCTCAATAATTTAAGTGCATTCTTGAACGCACAACTGAAGTCTTCACAATGCTCCATTCATTGGAAAGTAAAAAGGGCAAATGAAAAGAAATAGACGAGTATATTCGATCGGGTGGTGTTAAAATAATAGGAACAAGGTGACTTCACATTAAGTTCTAAGATTTGGACCAATTTGCGAGCTATCGGACTAAAACGGAATGAAACAGCACAATCAACGTTTTACTCAGTCAGTCAGGAGTAAATATTGCCCAGATATTTAATTGTAATCGAAATCAGTTCAATTCAATTTAACTCAATAAAATACATTATGTTTATTGACGTACGCTTTCGTTTGGAATAAGAAATTGATAGCTGTTTTCAGAGCCTTGTCCATGCAAGCTGAGAAATGAATGGTCAAATTGGTAGGAGATTATTAGGCAAAGCCCACATTACATGAAGATTTGCATTTAATTAAATGAAATAATACGCCTTTAAACCGGAGGATTTTGATTTCCCTACAAAACTATTGAAAATAGATAATGGAAAGACTTAATTATTTCAAAAAAACACGTTTCCCCTATAAGCACTTAAATGGTCAACATTGCATAAAGTATTGCGTATATTATTTACAGAAGCAGTCATTGATATATCCTGTTGACTCCTAATAGCAATAGAAACGATTACGGTCGTTAAAGACTTCTGTTGATTTAAGTCGAATAACATTTGTTATACGGTTGATTTAAGCTTCTATTAGCTAGTTATTTTTTCCATTTATCCTACAGCTTAAAGAAATGGCAGCTTTACTACTACATCGACGTACTTCGAGCTTGCAGGTCTTCGACTACTTCGGAAATGATATCCGGGTTCAGTAGCAGAAGCGATCGATACAGGGGATATAGGCGGTGCTGGAACAGGCGGAGAATATGGCGTGCTTTTCGCCGATTGGTGGGCTTCATTCTGACCAATAGAATAAACAGTCGTGAAAGGTTGTTGTGGCTGCTGATTGGTCGATTTGCTGCCTACTAATGACCGGTCAATTGATTGAGTTCCAATTTCCAAAATTGTAGGCTGAAATTTAATATTTAACAACGGTTAAATAATGTTTTAATTGCAATGAGCGCATAAAATTTTAACTAAGCTCATATCGCCGGCTATCTATTTTATATTTAAGGGGCTATAAACATGGCATAGCGAAGGCAGAGAGTCCATAACATCAGAGAACTTGAAAGAGATAATTTTGAACGAGAGTCAATTAAAACAGATAATTTCAAAATAAAAAACATGAACTTAGCTTAAAACAGAAAAATGAGGACGGAAATGCAGTGCTTGTTTCTAAAGCATAATCTTTCCAACAATTCCAAATCGCAAGCCTATTTATTTCTCATATTAAAAAATAGGATAATAATTAAAAAAGTAAAATACGATGGTTTCAGAATAAATTCAGAATTTACACGCAAAATGATACTGTCGACAATATAATATTTATTTTTTAATGGTTCTCGGATCAAAGAGGCTCGCTTTTAGACGACAAGATACTGATTTCTAAAAAAATTGAATTTAAACCAAAATTGAATTGTCATTCACATGGGTTCTCGTTAAATCACGGAAGACTACGAAACACTAAACTATACTAAAAAAATTAGCAATCAATATTACTAGTGTTAGAAGTAACAACAACAAAAAATCAAAATACGCTTGAACTAAAACACAATAGGAGTTTTAGGCCAAGTTAGAATAAATAACCATCACGCTATCTTTGGGAGAGCAAGCGAACAGTCACGGTCGAGATAAATTCACTTTATGTGACCCAATTAAAATGAGAAATTAGTTCAAAATGAATTGTCGCGCATCCGGTTTCAACTCTAAAAGCAGCAACACTAGCGTGTAATAAGCATTAGGCAGAGAAATATAACAATGAATCAGCAGATTCAGGTGTTTTAATTTTCACAATTGATGAAGTTGGTCTCGTTTAAGCTAAATATTATACAATTTATCAATTTCAATATAAATTTTTTTAGAATTATTCCTTGCTTCCAATTGGACACCCCAATTAGTGAAACTTCTAGGGAAGATTCAATAGTTCTACGCAATTACAATATAGCAATTATGGTAATTTGCTGTTCTTCTCATAGGTAATACAAATCTCTTTCAATAAAACTAATCTCACATGAGAAAGTGGGGATATGGGACACTGTTTCTCCATGGCAGGATTTTTTTCAGCATTCCAGTCAGCATAGCGATTGGCAAGGTAGGAAGAGAGGTTCTGGAGCTGAGGAAGTTGAACGGACGATGCGGGCACGGTTGGATGAATGGGATGTCGATAAATTCGTCGGGCGATTTCGTTGAGAGCTTCCTGTGAATCCTAGCAAATAGGACAGATCAACTTTTAGAGGTCACTGTTTTCGGTTTAGGAATCAGAACTTGCTGAGAGTATTAAGTTTCAATTTCCTCCTTGCAACAACTTTGAAAGTACTAACTAAAAGGATATAAGGTGAGAGTGAACGGTAAAAAGGAGAATGGGAAATTGCCGAAAGGTCATTGTAACCGTGACGTAAAAGACTCTTCAAGACCAGATAAGACGACGAGGCGTCAATAAAGTGAATTCTAAGTCAAGTGAAATAAGAGACAATATTCTGATTAAAACAGATTGAATTGAAAATTTCACTGAGTCTTGATTCATAACTAAGACCTACAAATTTGAAAATTGGGAGTGTGCGATAGAGCTACCTCCACGTGGTGCACCCTGGGCAATGTATTCTCATACGGCAAAAAAGTCCATTGACTGGCAGTTGACTTCTCACTTCAAACTACCATCACCTAACACCACGTCATATTCGACTACTTCCATAGTACTCACCTCACCTTTCATCTACCTTTGTGTCTGTCTCTTTTACATCTTTGAAACACTCTTCTGTTCCCCCCCCCTCTCGACTTTTTGTCAATTTGATGTACCTTCCTCTATGTGAAGCCTGAAGTCAATTAGCGGGCTAATGATAACCATCAAAACGCCTGTCATTTGATATAATATATTTTATGTAATAGTCGAAAATACAGAATAGTACTAAATAAAAAACCAAGTTGGCATTCATTAGTTCACAGCAAATGTTGAAAGCGCTCACCACGAACGTAGATTCACGACTCAGCAGGTATCATCGCATCTCTTTCACCTTGACCACGGCTGTGCGTGGTCTTAGTGATTAACAAGCGTCGTTCCTTATCAATACGCAAAGTCCAAGGTCATATTTTTTTGCAAATATTCAGACATTTGTCAGCAGGATAATCAATTAGACTGAGTTTATTAGATTCTGTAAATTGGCGTCCAAAACTAAGCAAGATCCATCGACGTAATTGACGGAACGTGACATACTCAAGCGAACTCAAAGTTGGTAATTTCTCTCTACCCAACAGCCTATATTGGTAGTAGGTAAAAAATAAAACTAATAGTAGAAAGCTTTCTTGACTGATTCAGTCAATTACTTGTTTGTTTAGGGCAATGCTGTAGCCAATTTGGAGTAGTTCCGTGAAGGTTAAAACTTACTTTACCCTAGAATCAATCAAAAAGTCCAAAGTTGAGAGCAAGCACTACATCAAGATGCCAATTCAAGCCTTTGGAGATGATTGAAGGATCCAATTAGCTTTTGTGCAAAGAAGAGCTACTGAACTCACATCCAGAATGCCTTCCAGAACGATAGGCACAATAGTATTATTCACAAAGAAATTTGTCATATTGGCGAAAAATTAGCGCTAAAATACGGGTGTCCCACCTACCACAATATAATGTGAGATCTTCCAGCATTTAAAGCACTCGGTGGGCGCAATCACAAAGGAAGAGATCGACAATTCCGCACATTCGATAATAATAACGTAAAACTTTTATTTATATCAAATGGCAGGCTTTATGATAGTTATCATTAGCCCTTTAGTTGACTTCAGGTTTCACAGAGGGGAAGGAACATCAAATTGAAAAAATTCGAGGGGGGGGGGACAGAAGAGTGTTTAAAGATGTTAAAAAGACAGACAGACACAAAGGTAGGATAAGTATGGTGGAAGTGATAGAATATGACATACAGTAGGNCCCCCCCCCCTTCTCGATTATTTTCTATTTGATGTTCCTTCCACTCTGTGAAGCCTGAAGTCAACTAAAGGGCTAATGGTAACCACCAAGACGCCTGCCATATGATATAAATAAATAAATAAATAAGTTGAACATCGCAAATATAAACTGATGAAATAAGAAACAACCAAGCGAGCTCAGAACCGGATGTCTATAAGATGAGTTAAAAAATCCAAAGATTGAATGCCGATCAAATGAAAAAACACGAGTAGATTCCAAATTAAATTGAAATAAGAAACTTCAATTGCCCTAGCTTTATCCTCGTCTGTCTGATCAATTTCCTCATCACACTTTATTAAATTATTTGGCCATTTATGCTTTCTTAGCAACGTTTCGCCTTAAAGTGAGCAACAGGTACTCAAAGCCCGGCATTGGATTGAGCGCATAAAACCAAGAATTTACCAAGCTTAGCCCTGATTTAAGCCTTCTATGTCACAAAGGTAACTTCGACTAAATAATTCATCAAGTGGACAATCAATGCCGAAAATGCTTCTTACTTTAAACTCATGGAAAGTTGAAATTTTTCCGTACGTTTAGTGGGCATATCTAAATGTGAAAATTCAAGTATTATCAACATGCTGAAAAATAAATTCTTTGAAGAAATTTCTACCTTGTTAATAATTTAGTTGATTGCAGATAAAATTCAACACAAAGACAATAATGAGTTACCTTCTTCAAAAATAAAGATTAAAAAATACATCATTAAAGTAGCTTGTTTATTTCCATTATTTGTTTAAATTTAAAGTAAACGAATTCACTTTAAAAATTCTAATAAATTGCAACAGACTTAATAAATTAGCGCAAATGCACTATAACTCAAAATATGCAAAAGAATTCAACAATTGGATAAACAGTACCCTGCAAAATCAGTGGCATGATATAAAGTTCAAAAATAATTTTTCAGAGGCGCAAATGATCAGATTGAGATGGGGCGTCGAGCAATAAAAAGACTTAAAGCCAATCTCCTTACAAGGCAATTGAAATCGATTGTCAATGTTTAAGTGCAGAGGCATTTTTAAAAAAGACACATATTTTTTTAAAATATCATTCGATTAAGTAAGTTGAATCAGTGTCGTGAATTTTATTGACTAAGCATCTCTGATGCAGTTAATAGGAGTAAAATGAATTTCAACTTACCCTAAGAAGCAAAGCAGTGTCCAAACTGGCGGTACTACGCGTAGACCGAATCACCTGAGATGACTGTCCAGGAGGAAAGGAAAACCCCACATCGGAGTTTTTATTTACACTTTGCCCACTGTTCGTCGTTGAGGGATACCGGTGCCGATGATGTCCGTGCCTATATCCCATCACCGGTGATCGACCACTTTCCATGAACTCTGATTGAACAGAACATCGACTTGCATGTCGACGCAACTGACTCCAATTCTCTTCCAGTGAATTGTTCTCGTTGTGCCAAGAACGGTGGGCATTTGCGGATTGCGTCCTATGATTACTGGCAGTATCTGGAAAGTAAAAAATAGACGTTCTAAAAGAAAGAGATTTGGGAGAATCAAATATACCAAAATAATGATAATACCTGGTTTCATTGCCTTTTTTTATTAGGTGGGCAACTAAGTCATTGCCGTTTTTGTTGACGGATTCAATCTATACTTTCTTTTGTTTTGTTAACGTGGCCAGAGCATCTAACCTATATTTTTTTCTTACTGTATGGGCTTCTAGGTTAATTAGTAAACTATTGTTAGTTTAGTTCTTTAGTTTTGTTTTTATCCCAATTTAAAAATGAAAGAACAGGACGTGCACTTCCGACACATTTTATTGTATTACTTCCGAAAAGGCAAGAACGCATCCCAAGCACAAAAGAAGTTATGTGCCGCATATGGAGATGAAGCCTTAAAAGGAAGGCAGTGTCGAAATCGGTTTGAAAGATTTCGTTCCGGTGATTTTTCACTGAAAAATTCACAACGATCTGGCCGCCCAGTCGAAGTGGATGAAACCCATATCAAGGCCATTATCGATTCAAATCGTCACAGCACAACACGAGATATTCCAGAGAAGCTCAATGTGTCGCATACATGCATTGAAAAAAAAAAATTAAAAACCCTTGGTTATGTCAAGAAACTTGATTTATGGATCCCTCACCAGTTAAAGGCAATTCATTTGACGCAACGGATTAGCATCTGTGATTCGCCGCTACTGAAACGCAATGAGAATGATCCATTTCTGAAGAA